GCAGTTGAAGAGACTAGGAAAAAGTTCTGGCCCACTTATTATGTATAGAAAACTATTTCCTAACAACACCATTTGTTCTTCTAAGTAGTAATCTCTTTTGCAGGTGGGCGTGTGCTTTTGGCCTATAATACAAACTATCAACTTCTCAGTGATACCCGAACACAACCGTCTTGTATTCGTAAGCATTTGTAGTGTTATGTGGACAATATTTCTAGCATATATGAATAGAAAGACAATGAATGCACCGCATAGCGAGAGTTGATTATTCCATAAAGTCACCGAATCTGCTGATAATTTAGCTGGAAGCAAAACAATTGCTTAGTACAAATGAAACGTTTCAGAATTTGAATATTTGTTGTGTTGTTATTTCTTAGTTAAAAGTTAGCTTAAAAGTTTGACATTATATATATATACATATATTATTAAATGCATTTATTGTATTATAATGGTACAAATTAAAAAATGTTATACTTTGTATGTAATAGTTCTATTAATTGTCTCATAAATCCATGATAAATAATGTTTAACACTTGTGAATACTCCTGGTTTCTTGGCACAAGGTTTAAGACTCCATGAAACTACACCTATTTGTATATTGTGGTTATACAGTAAGGGTCCACCTGAATCACCGCTACACTGTCCTTTCTTTTGACCAACATCAGCAGCACAAAGATGTGATTCCTGTAAGAATGCGTTTAATTCCCGACGACAATTTGCTAATGTTACCAACTCCAGTTCAACTTTTTGCAATATACTTTGCAGTGTACCGAATGTCTGGAAAAATAAAATATTTTCTATACAAATAGTTAAATTAATTTTCAAATAAATATTTGTATTGTATTATGTCATATGATAGCATATGACAATGCAAAATCACACACACCTCATTTAGACCCCAGCCGATCAACTCTACATTGGTAGTTTCCTCAAAATTTTGATACATTGTTGGCAATATTACTGCTTTCACGGATTCATTGAATTCCAGAATTGTTGATAACTCCAGTAATGCAATATCGTGTATAGCTAATGTAGGGCTGTAGCCTTCATGTACTAATATCTGGTTTACTATTGCGTATTTTGGGTTATGAGAATGCAACTGATGGCTACCATAATGAACTAACACATCCAATGGTTGCTTCACGAATGTAAAACAGTGCGCTGCAGTTAAGATCCATTTTGGGCTTAATATGGTACCTGCACAAAAGTGAGAATCATCTCTAATTTTTCGAAGTGACACCTGGAAAAATGAAAAGAAATCGGTTTCTTTCTTTAAATATTTTAATATGTTATTTAAATATAAAAATAATTATTCATATTATCAAGATAGTTGAAGAAAAATTGTTCTTTAAAGCAACTACAAGGAAATGTGATTATAAAAACCTATTATAAAACCCATTTCATATTAGTTCAGATGCTCATTGCTTAGATAAACTTATTCCGAAAAGTTAAATTCTTAATATTAAGTGTTAATTTATTAATAGTTTTTTTTAACAAAAAAATTAAATAGACATCCATTAAAATGCTTCAGACACCTTAGGAAAAAGATAGGATGAAACGAGAAATAAACTATCCTTTATATAAAGTCAGACCTCAGTTATATATAGCAACCAAGTAAAACGAAAAATGAAATGATAAGCAAAGGTCAGTAAGAAATTATAGCTCTAATTCGATATTTATTGTGGAACTCTGAATATTTTATATAATATAAAAATCAATACACTTGCATAATTTTTTGCAAAACCACAACATTTTTTTTTTGTTTTATTTGAATTAAGTAAAGATTGGATTTCTCTTCTTCACAACAATTAAATTGCCTATTATTAATTCTAAAGAATCATTCTCTTCATCGCTATCGTCAACATCATCTCCTCTTCTCTGCACAATATTTAGTATCCAGTCGACATAGGCTGAAACCTCAGTAAATACACCTGGATATGGCGCAATAGTGCACGGTTTACGGCTCCAGGATACGATGCCCACTTGTATTCCATTAATCAATAACGGTCCACCAGAATCTCCACTACATTGTCCTTTTCCACCATTAGGTACACCAGCACAGAGTGTAGTCGTATGCAGTTGTACTTCATGGCGACGACTGCACTCATCATCAGTAAATGTTTGTAGTTCCACTTTTTGCAATCTATTTTGTATTACACCACCAGTCTAAAAACATAGACATCTTAATAAATACACCAAACTTGATATTTTTTACTTTACCGCATTAAGACCCCAGCCTATTAAAGTGGCACTTTTATTACCGGGCGTAATTTGTTTTATTTCCGGCAAACGGACACTGTTAACTTTCTTATTAAATTTTAACGGCTCCTTAAGTTTTAATAATGCTATATCGTTTATATAGTTATTGCTAGGTAGATAGCCCTCGTGCACATAAATTTTGGATACATTGCCTATTTTAGTGCTATTCTGATTTAGTTTGATATTTCCGTATTGTATATTGAGTTTTTCTGGTTTTGCACGCGCAACACAATGGGCTGCTGTTAGCACCCATTTTGGATTAAGTAATGTGGCACCACAAGAATGACGCACACCGCGTCGTAGAGAAACCTATTTTTTAATTTCATAATTATAAGTCCAATGACAGAACCTCTAATCATTTTTAAAGTTAAAGCTCCAAAATTCCTACAGAAGCATTTGTATTTATTTATGTTGTAGTACTAACTCTTACCATAAAAGGAAATTCACCATCCTTTGCATCAGTGCCATTAACTATCTTCCCATCACGTGCCAATACCTTCCCATGCTCACTAAAAACACCCAAAACGAACATGAAGAGTAAATAATTAACCGTAGCCATGTAAACTAGTGCAGTTTAATTTCAATTCTGTTATAATGAATGAAACTTACTAACTCTTTTATAACTCGACTTACCATATACATATAACTGTGGGGTGCCTATCTGATAAGCCGTTCAGCATTCAATCAAATTTAACCTTACAAAAATTATATACCCAACACGCATTTGGTAACGATGGGGGTTCTAATTTACATGTATGAATTTTTTCCTTTAGCAACGAAAACCCCAACTCGGTGATAAAGTTCAAAATCAAGGTCTTTGTTTTGATAATATAGATACGAAGTTTAGCAAAACACAATTGAGTTATATCTTTTTTACAAGGCATTTACTGAGTTAGCTATTTCTTTATCAATATTAGTATTTATGCAAATATAAAAATTTTTCTTAAAAAAATGTCTCAACTATTACAAAATATGAAAGTATTGTTGGGGAAATATCCCGTGGTGCGGGGTATGATATCTTACAGTCTTATATGGCCAACGAGTAGCGTAATACAACAGACTATCGAAGGGAAAAGATGGGGTAAAGTATAAACTACAATTAATTCTTTTATTTAATAAATATTGATATCTATTCTCACTAGGTGAATATGACTGGTGGAGAGTTTTGCGTTTCAGTTTATATGGTGGCCTATTTGTAGCACCTACTCTATATAGTTGGATTAAAGGTATGCAAATATTTTGACTATTATATATATTTCAAGATTTTATTAGTTTTTTTCTCTTGACAGTATCTAGTGCTATGTGGCCTGAATCTACTATAATGGCAGGAGTGTGTAAAGCTGCCGTTGAGCAAATATCCTATACCCCTGCTGCCATGACTTGCTTTTATTTCATTATGAGCCTGCTGGAAAGGAAAACTATAAGAGATGCAGCAGCAGAAGTTAGTAAAAAGTTTTTACCAACTTTTAAAGTAAGTTTAGTGCTTTATTGCAACTATACATTCTGATAAAATAGAGATTCTGTAACAGATAACATGAAACTATTAACACATACATGAAGGCAACATAAAGTTATAACTAAAATAAATGTAATACCCAGGTATTCTAGACCAATTATAGAGAATACTGCAGACAACGACAGTTGCTCAATCACCCGTAGTGCTACTGCACTCTCTTATACTAATAAATCCAGGTCTTTAACGCCTACAATAGTGATATTGGGCCAACATTTTATGAATAGACACACTAGAGTGGATATTCGCTTTTTAAACATAACATTAGTCGTTGAGTTCAATTACTGCTTAGTCTGATGAAGTGATAAACAATAATCGAGTCAAGCCGTGGAGAGGGATTATGAGGACACCTCTCAGTCAATAGAGAGTAAAGTGCTTAAGTGCACTGACTCAACTAGCCTCAAAATAATAAATTAGTGGTTGACGGCAGTTTTTAATCGATCGATGTATCTACCAATAAGGTAGTGTCCCGTCATTTGAACCTTTTAAAATTGAAATATTTCAACTCAACTTAGTATTATTCAAACTTTAAATAAAGCAACGGCACAATTCCACACCTAAAGCAAATAGCAGAGTTGTATTTTTTGTTTCACATAGCACAGTTGTATTTGTGAATTCAGTTTAGTAATGTAAACTTACTGTACGATACAAACATATGTTTCTCAATTTCTATTAAACAATATCAGTCAATAACACTCCTTATATTCTTTAACATTTATTATAATAAATATCATTTAAACACTATTATATATTTATTTCAGGTTGCGCTCTGTGTTTGGCCCATTGTTGCAACGATAAATTTTACTCTTATTCCCGAACGCAATCGAGTACCGTTTATTAGTGTCTGTAGTTTAATCTGGACTTGTTTTCTGGCATATATGAAACATTTAGAACATCATCAGATAAATGGAAATGAATATTAATTAAACCATTTTGTTTGTTCTGTGTATTTTTATAATAAATTAATAATAGTTTTATTGTTTCATATAGACTGTATTGTTATGCAAATGAATAAAATAAATATATTTTACTTACATATACATATCATAAAAAATAATAATTATTTTTAAAGATACTGGTGGGCTTATGCTTGTCAAAGTGTTTAATTTGTTGTTAAAACATTTTTACAAGATAAAATGTCAAAACATTTTAGGCTTTGCTAGCGGTAGCTGAAGCATTGATAAATAGTGTATTTGACTATTCGGTAGAATATGCTATAAGCATACAAATACCTCGAAACCAGGTTATAAATCGTTATTTATCGATATGGCGCTGTAATCAATGATCTCACAATAATACAAGTTTTGCAAAACGTTTGATATTAGGGGTATTCACTCTCTCTTGTAAACTCATTGCAAGGAGCACGAAATGCAAGAATGCTATACAAAAACTGCAAGACTGCGAGAACACCTCTGTTGCAGAATTGCATCATCAAAATGAATCAGCTGTTTTTGCAGCCGTATCAAATTGAGCAAAGAAAATAAAAGTATAACAATGCCGCGAACAAGTGAAATACAAAAATGTATAGATTTTTTTATTGAAAATAGTGCTTTTAATATTCTGATTGAAGGTATTAACATGTTGTTAATGTAGTTTTCACTACTATATAGTTTCTATTTGTTAGATGATGCAAATTACTGGGAAGTGATGGAGCAATTAAATGAAGACCTTTTGTTTACTTTAGTAAACCATCACAGAAATCACCAACCCGTACCAAAATCTATTCCATGGAGATCTACCATTCTTCAAGAATTTGATGAAGGCCGTTTTTGTCAGATGCTTAGAGTAAATTGGAACGTATTTTCCTTAATAGTCTCACTAATAAACTATTAAGGATTGCTATTGTTTTATATCGTTTGGGTTCATCAGGCGAAAATGCGGCTATTCGTAAAGTCGCTACATTATTTGTTGTTAGAGATATATGTAATAATAATATAATATAAAAATAATTAGTATAATAAAAATATAACTAATTCTTAATTTATTATTGTTATTTGTTATATTTTTTTATCGAGGGGGGTAGTGGGGCTTTGCACAGCAGAACGCACGACTTTCGGTGCAGAGCTGGATGATGTGTTGTCTGCAGACGATTCAATAAAAAAAACTTCGTTGCCTAGCGCAGAACTAGTTGGTGGCTATGGCAATGTTTCCGTACAAAATTAGACATGCGTCCAAACACTTCATTCAATAGTTCAAAATGTGAACAAATTTTCGTAAGTTTTGCTGAAATTGATAAATAGATAAATTAATTCACAAATGTATATGTATATAATATTATATTTGTGAAAACTTAATTAATGGTCACATCGATTTAAATTATTGAACGAAACGCATGTATATAGCATAGCCATAGATTAACATATCTCGAAATTTTACTAACAGTCAATTCAAATTTAAAAATGAGAAGCAACAAATGACAAAACAGCTGATTTCCGCCATTTCTGGTTTGTTGCAAGCAAATATACATAGGTTTTAGTATTGGAAGATTGCACGCAATTGCACGAAATTTTGTGCGTGTATTTTGTTGTTGTTATTTGCATTCTCGTACAATCTGTGCATTTCGTGCACCTTGCAATGAGTTTGCAAGAGAGAGTGAATACCCCTATTGAATTATTGCTAATAAATACAACAAACTCTACTCTTCGATGTAGGATTTCAAATGAGCACTTCTATTTTTAATAATAAACAAAGCGTAAATGAAATGTATAAAATCCTGCTTGTTTATTTTATACAAAAACCAATTCATATTCTATACACAATCTACATTATTCAATACACCAACCAATTAAATATGTTTAATTATCTTATTAACTACGTTAAATGCAAAATTTGAGCATAACCCTGCGTCTTAATTGTGATGCATCTTGTATTATGATTCGAGTAGAATAACAATAGAAATACATTTGTCATACTTTAATTCGTAATAAATGCCATTAACTGTAATAAATAATACAAAATAAGTTATATCTTTTACTAAACTATAGCCAGTGTACAGCTGTGCTCTCATTATCTAATACCACTCAAACTGTAATGTTGGTGCTGCTTAAACTCTACTTATAGCTCATATTAATAAATTCTGTTTTAATGCGGACCATTGTAACTTCGCCTTAATCTGGGTGGTGTTGTATATTTTGTGTTGGAGAAATTATTCTGTTTGTGTTAAGTGTGAAGTGTATTTATTATAAGTCTTAATATATAAGTTTTTTACATTTTAACATAATTTTTGTTAAGAACCATGGCAATAGCTGATATAGACAAGCCACGTTCCACGGATGCAACAGATAGCGTGGAAAAAGGGGATTATCCACGCGCCACAAGTGAGTGAATGACGAATAAAGAATGAAGAGTTTTGTTTTTATAATTGTTTATTTACATATTCATTGATTAAATTCAATCAATTCTACAGCTGGCGTGGTTGTGGGCTCCATAACTGCCTTTATTGGTTTCTTTTTCCTGATGATGTCTTTCTGCTCACCATATTGGATTGAGTCATATGAAGAGTCACGCAGCAATTTTAAGAACATGGGCATTTGGCAATATTGTTTTCACGATTATGTGTATCCAGGGTATCAATTTCCACGTAAATTTACTGGTTGCCATAATATATTCAGTCATGTAAGTGTAAATGTGAAAGTTAACATCCCTATTAAACATTATTTAAATTACAGGAATATTATGTGATTAGGGAGTGGTTATTGCCTGGTTGGCTTATGTCCGTGCAGGCTTTTGTCACAATGGCATTTATTTTGACCATTACCAGTCTTTCTATTTTGTCGCTGGTGATTATAAGATTACCACTGAAAGGTGTCTTGCAATATGAATGGATTTTGATTCGAGTTTCTTACCTATGCACTGTTGTCTCCTGTAAGTAAAATTGAGTCTTATTAATATATAATTGTTATAGTAAATTTGATTTAAATCTGAGAAACATATTTATTATTGTAGTTTGTTGTGTTTAATTTGATTTTTGTTTTGCACATATATCAAAATTATTTAAAAATTTTATTTTTATGTGCTTTATTTAAAATGAACTAATTTCCTTATCATTTTTTTAGCGCTTTTCATGTTCTTTGCGGTTGCCATATTCGGTGGATGCGCATATCGTCGAGATTGGTTGATGTATCCCAAATTCAATGTGCTTGGCTGGTCCTATGCCTTAGCTGTGGTGACATTCTTCCTGCTTGGTATTGCTGCATTAATACTACATCGCGAAGCAAAGCAAGCTTATGACTTGCGTGGGGAACAGAAAAATTTAGTTATGCAAATGGAAATGCAAGAGCCCGGCTATCAAGTGCCACGACATCACCAGTCTCAATCACGTAGCTTACAAGGTTACATATAATTCCATTCCATTTACAAATATTTTATATAAACAATTTTATAATAAGTTTAGTTAAGTGAATGTTGACAATGTTAACAATCAATGTACGAATATGTGCAATAGAATTCGTTCAAGTGACTAAGGTACAATTAGTTAAATTTAAATAGTTTAAAACACTGTTAAT